ATTTTTATTGAAATATAGTTGATTTACAATGTTGTGTTAGTTTCAGGTATACAGCAAAGTGATTGTTTTATATTTATATATACATATATATGTTTATATATATATATATTCTTCTTCAGATTCTTCTCCATCATAGGCTATTACAAGATATTGAATACAGTTCCCTTTAATCTTGATATTGGTAATTTGTATCTCAATGTACTTAGCTGTAAGTTTATCAACTGTATTTGAACAGATTCATATTTTCTTTCAGTGATTTTTCTCTGTCCATTTTCTATTTCACTGATTTCTGCTCTTTATAATTTCCTTCCCTCTATTTATATTGTGTGTATGTTGGTCTTGTTTTTCTAGTTTCTTAAGATGAGAATTTAGATAATTGTTTGCAGATTTTTTTGTCTTTTCTAATATAAACACTTAAAGTGGTAAACTGTCCTCTAAGTGATGTTTTACCTGCATCCCACAAAGTTTGACATGTTGCATCTTCCCTATCACTCAGGACAAAACATTTTCTAATTTTCCTTGTGATTTCTTCTTTGATTCATGAATTATTTATAAGTATGTTGCTTATGGGGAGAGGGGAGGAGAGGTGAGATGTATGGAAAGAATAACAAGGAAACATACATTACTATATGTAAAATACATAGCCAACAGGAATTTGCTCTATGGCTCAGGAAACTCAAACAGGGGCTTTGTATCAACCTAGAGAGGTGGGATGAGGAGGGAGATGGGAGAGTTTCAAAAAGGAGGGGATATATGTATACCTATCAGTGATTCGTGTTGAGGTTTGACAGAAAGCAACAAAATTCTGTAAAGCAATTATCCCTCAATAAAAAAATAAATAAAAATTTTTTAAAAAAGTATAATTCCAAGTATTTGAGGATTTCCTAATGATCTTATTCTCAACTGCTCTCTATTTAATTCATTTTTTTGGTATTAAAAATCTACTAAGACTTGTTTTGTGGCCTAGTACTTAAACTATCTTAATGAACACTCCATGTACACATGGAAAGAACATGTATATTGCAGCTGTTCAGGGTAGTGTTCTATAAATACTAATTAGGTTGGAGTGGTTGATGGTATTGTTCATATCTTCTATATCTTTGCTAATATTTTATATGGCTATTCTATCAGTTACTTAGAGCAGTTTACTGTAATCGTCATCTGTGATTATGGAATTGTCTGTTTTTCCCTCTAATCTGTCTATGTTTGCTTTATGTATACTAAAGTTCTGTTATTAGGTGCACACACATTTTTGATTTTTAGATTTTCCTGATGACTTGACCTTTTTAAAAATCACTGTGCAATGTAATAATCTCACCAGCATTGATATTATTTTCCAAACAGCTTTTAGTTCTCTTTTGTAATTACTTTAAATTCTCCATAAGTACACTTAGGTTTGAACTTTTTTTGTTTGGTTGGTTTTTTTCATTTATTTTTATGAGTTGGAGGCTAATTACTTTACAATATTGTAGTGGTTTTTGTCATACATTGACATGAATCAGCCATGGATTTACAAGTATTCCCCATCCCGATCCCCCCTCCCACCTCCCTTAGTTTGAACTTTAAAGGATGTAGGCCACTAAGTATCCTTTCCGCTTGTACTGAGACGTCATTATCTCCTCCCAGCCCTTGCACACTGAAGATTCCAGGCGGCTCTAACTTAACATCAAAGGAAAAATTGTTCAGTAACCTGCATGTTGATAAGATTTTCATTAACCTTTCTCATTTTTGCTGGGTTTGTGACATTCCAAACAGGCAGAGATTATGTGGGACCAGTGGTTAACTACAGAATATTAAGTAGAGGGATCAATGTTGAGTGATTTTTTAAATGATCTATTTCAAGAGAAACACTGTATTTCAAATTCATCTCCAGGAAATGGAGAACTGAAAGTTGGTATGAATCTACAATAAAATTCAAGTAAATGACAATTAGAGAACCAAACACAGACTTCAATTTTTTATAGAAGAATTTTAAAGTATAGTCACTATTTCATTTCAGAACAAATGAGGCAGAAACAGCTTCAGTTCTGAAACTACTACAGAGCATTTAGTGATATGACATCTACCTCTAGACGTTCACTATTATGTAGCTTTGTATGTATGTATGTATCAAATATCTGTGTGCTTCTTTTCCCTCTCAATTATTTGGGAAACTTGAAAAAGGACAGTCACATGCAAACCTTTTCAAGCATATTGCTAGAATGCAATGTGAATAAACTGCGTTGTGAATAAGTACAGAAAAACATTTATATAGAGCTTAGATAGCTCAGTGATCTTTATGAGACCATAACTGTTCTAAATATCTGTAATTTTCAAAAGTTGTGTCAATGTACCTAAGAAAACAGTAAAACAAAATAAAACATTGGGACCTGAACACCTACTGTGGCTAACTGCCCAAACCTGTGGGGGCGTTTTGGTAGCAAGTCATCTACAGAGCAAGCAAATCCAAATATGCAGAGTGCCCACCAAGTAACAGCTGATTCCTTACAGTTATTAAATTTAACACTCATAAAACACCATGGTATTGTTGCATTTCTTTTGCATGTGAAACCAGACTTTGAAAGATTAAGTGGCTCACCAAAGGCGACACAACTGTAAGCAGTAGTTATGGGATCTGAACCCCAATCTCTTAACACTAGATGTAGTATTTGTTCTACTTTGCCAGAGAAACCTATATATAGATCAGGAGTTGGCAAACCTTTTCTGTAAAAGGCCAGAACCTTTAAGCTTTGCAAATCATATGGTCTCTTAAATCCACTCTTGTAGTAAGTAAATAGCTATAGATAATATGTAAGTAAGTTAGTCTTACCCTGTTGATGAGGAAGATTGAAGGCAAAAGGAAAAAGGGGCAGTGGAGGATAAGATGGTTGGATAGTATCACTGACTTCATGGACGTGAATCTGAGCAAACTCCAGGAGCTAGCAGGGGACAGAGGAGCCTGGCGTGTTACAGTCCATGGGGTTGCAAAGAGTCGGACATGACTTAGCAACTGAACAACAACAAAATGAGTCTAGTTATGTTCCAATGAAGCTTTACAAAAGTAGGTTGTGGACTGGATTTGGCCCAGGAGTTGTGGTTTGCTGATCCCTGCTATAGATTAAAACATACAAGCAAACCATAAAAGAATTGGGTTCTAAAGTTTCAGAGGTATTTTTCATTACTGCTTCACTTAGTCTACTTAACTACAAACAATAATTGTGATTTCACTGTAAATTCATCTTCCAGTTCTAGCTCTTCCACAGTGCCAACTTTCTTCTCCCCAATACAAATTCTAGCTTTGATGATAGTCACTTTATGGGAGTGATCAACACTTTTTGTTAGTGAGGACCAGTCAGGAGATGGTTTTTCTCGCTACTCAGTAAAAATGACTTTGCTGGATCCCAAAATGGAAAACAGTTTCCTGCTTTATTGAATATTTTTAAATGCTAATAAAAATCGGTACTTGGTTTTAGTTATCAAAATGGTAATGCGAATGAACTTATGGACAAAACAGAAACAGACTCACAGAGTTAGAAAACAAACATCGTTACTAAAGAGGAAATGTGGGGGAAGGATAAATTAGGAGTTTATGATTAACATATCCTCACTACTATGTATAAAACAGATAATAAACAAGTTTCCTGTGCTACTGCATAGCACAGGAAACTCTACTCAAGATTCTGTAACAACCTATATAGGAGAAGAATCTGAAAAATAATGTATATATGTATGTGTATAATAATCACTGGCTGTACACCTAAAACTAACAACACTGTAGATAAACTACATTCCAATACAAAATAATTAAATTTTAAAATTGTTAATGTGGAGCAACAGTCATCTTTCCAATCTATGTACTTTAGGATTCAAAACTTGTCTTCTTATACATTATTTCATTTATCTTTGAAGCAAATTCTGAAGTAAGTATTATTATGGAGAAACTGATGCAGAGGTTAAGCGACTCACCCAGAGTCACTTCCTTCCCGAAAAAGCAAGTACTATACTGGGTGCAAGGAATAAGGAGATAAATAAAATCATACATGCTTGCCTTTGTCCCTATCCTCCTTGTTGATACTTGGCCTCCACCAAAACCCACATACCTAATAAACAAGTTTGAAAAGAGTTTTCTAGTGACTGCCCAGGTAGTTTTTTTCCCTCCAGGCCTCTGCCTTGTTGAACTGAAAGTTGTACTTGAAATTTGATCAGATACTTTTCTGGAAAACCAAACAAGGCATGAAGCTCTCTGGTTTTGGGATTCTCATCACCGTTTATAATTCCCTCCAGCAACTCATCTACACTATTACAAATAAGCATTTTCAAAATTCAGTGTCAAGTGAGTTATTATTTTATTTACTACTAATTGTGAAAGTTAGTTTTATTTCCTCAAATATATTCTGTACAGTCTTTCCTCTTTCTGATCCCTGTAAACTGACATTATTTACTATATTCATCTGCCAATTTTCATTCTGCATACAGTCAGTCCCCTGTGTCTACTGGCCTTTCTTCAACTAATTACAAAGAGTGTAACGTCTAAAGTGAGGTCCTTACTTGAGCCATCGCATTACTTGGTAATAAACACTTCTTTAAGATCTGATGTCAATTCTTACAGATCCTGCTGATTTGCTAATTCACATAGCTGTCTGAGGGCTTCCCTGGTGGCTCAGCGGTAAAGAATCCACCTGCAATGCAGGAGTCACGGTTTTGATTCCTGGGTCAGAAAGATCCCCTGGAGGAGGACATGGCAACCCACTCAAGTGTTCTTGCCTGGAGAATCCCATGGACAGAGGAGCCTGCCGGGCTACAGCCCATGGGGTCGCAAAGCGTCAGACATGACTAAAGTGACTTAGCATGCATGCACGTTCATAGCTGTCCTAAGGTCTTCACTGAGTACATTTGGTAATTTAGGGCATTTTTCACTTCAGGTAAGGATTGGCTTTTTTTAATTACAAGAAGATAGAGCCACGCAAAAAGAGTCATTCCATTTCATTCAGCCATGAATGAAAGTTTCTCAGCCTACTTACCTCTGCAATCAGATCATGTAGCTCTCCTTCACTAGGGCAGCATCCTAATGACCTGATAATTGTTCCGACCTCTCTGTGGGAAAAAAAAGTAGTCAATTGTTTTAGAATATAAACTCTGAAAAAACAAGCACTATGTTTCTCTAAATTATTTCACAGCAGGTGTAGCACAGCAAACAAAGTCATGTAATAAACATTGCCTCAAGAGGATGGAAGATACTTTCTGAGGAAAGGAAAAGGCAGACAAGTGAACCCAAGAGAGAAGAAAGAAGTGTTTGTGTTGACTGGCAAGCGCAAACCCTGCCACTTCCTAACTGGTTTTAAGTGTTAGTTAATTCTTTTGAGCCACAGTTTCCACATCTGTAAAATGAGGATGATAATCTCTAAGGAGGTGAAGTCTAGAGGCAGGGTACCTAAAAGTACGACCTCTAGTGGGAGACTATTGTTGTTGTTTAGTCGCTAAGTCATGTCCAACTTTTTTGAGACCCCATGGGCCATAGCCCACCAGGCTCCCTATATCCTGGGATTTCCCAGGCAAGAATACTGGAGCGGGCTGCCATTTCCTTCTTCTGGAGATCTTCCCAACCCAGGGATCAAACCCTCGCCTCTTGAATCTCTTCCTTTGCAGGCAGATTCTTTACTGCTGAGCCACTGGGGAAGCCACTGGCAGACTGCTAGGGTTCCAACTCCAGCCCTGTAATTTGCTAGACTGGGCAGGTTAATCTGCATGCATAAGCCTACCTGGCAGGTGAAACACAGATTCTTCCTTGAAATACTCAGAAGTGGGCTGAGAATACTCTAATGGCCAAATAATATGAGATACCATAATATAAAGCACAGCTCTTGACAGAGTAGACACTCAATAAATATTAGTTATTCCTCGCCCCCTCCCCAATAGGAATGTAATTCAATTTATCAATAACCGGCTTCACAGCTGAATTCTACCAAAAATTTAGAGAAGAGCTAACACCTATCTTACTCAAACTCTTCCAGAAAATTGCAGAAGAAGGTAAACTTCCAAACTCATTCTATGAGGCCACCATCACCCTAATTCCAAAACCAGACAAAGATGCCACAAAAAAAGAAAACTACAGGCCAATATCACTGATGAACATAGATGCAAAAATCCTTAACAAAATTCTAGCAAACAGAATCCAACAACATATTAAAAAAATCATACACCATGACCAAGTGGGCTTTATCCCAGGAATGCAAGGATTCTTTAATATCTGCAAATCAATCAATGTAATACACCACATTAACAAATTGAAAGATAAAAACCATATGATTATCTCAATAGATGCAGAAAAAGCCTTTGATAAAATTCAACATCCATTTATGATTAAAACTCTCCAGAAAGCAGGAATAGAAGGAACATACCTCAACATAATAAAAGCTATATATGACAAACCCACAGCAAGCATCACCCTCAATGGTGAAAAATTGAAAGCATTTCCCCTGAAATCAGGAATAAGACAAGGGTGCCCACTCTCACCACTACTATTCAACATAGTTTTGGAAGTGTTGGCCACAGCAATCAGGGCAGAAAAAGAAGTAAAAGGAATCCAGATAGGAAAAGAAGAAGTGAAACTCTCTCTGTTTGCAGATGACATGATCCTCTACATAGAAAACCCTAAAGACTCTACCAGAAAATTACTAGAGATAATCAACGAATACAGTAAAGTTGCAGGATATAAAATTAACACACAGAAATCTCTTGCATTCCTATACACTAACAATGAGAAAACAGAAAGAGAAATTAAGGAAACGATACCATTCACCATTGCAACAAAAAGAATAAAATACTTAGGAGTATATCTACCTAAAGAAACAAAAGACTTATACATAGAAAACTATAAAACACTGATGAAAGAAATCAAAGAGGACACAAACAGATGGAGAAATATACCGTGTTCATGGATTGGAAGAATCAATATTGTCAAAATGGCTATACTACCCAAAGCAATCTACAGATTCAATGCAATCCCTATCAAACTACCAATGGTATTTTTCACAGAACTAGAACAAATAATTTCACAATTTGTATGGAAATACAAAAAACCTCGAGTAGCCAAAGTAACCTTGAGAAAGAAGAATGGAACTGGAGGAATCAACCTGCCTGACTTCAGACTATACTACAAAGCCACAGTCATCAAGACAGTATGGTACTGGCACAAAGACAGAAATATAGATCAATGGAACAGAATAGAAAGCCCAGAGATAAATCCACGGACCTATGGTCACCTTATCTTCGACAAAGGAGGCAAGGATATACAATGGAAAAAACACAATCTCTTTAACAAGTGGTGCTGGGAAAACTGGTCAACCACCTGTAAAAGAATGAAACTAGAACACTTTCTAACACCATACACAAAAATAAACTCAAAATGGATTAAAGATCTAAATGTAAGACCAGAAACTATAAAACTCCTAGAGGAGAACATAGGCAAAACACTCTCCGACATAAATCACAGCAGGATCCTCTATGACCCACATCCCAGAATTTTAGAAACAAAAGCAAAAATAAACAAATGGGACCTAATGAAACTTAAAAGCTTTTGCACAACAAAGGAAACTATAAGCAAGGTGAAAAGACAGCCCTCAGATTGGGAGAAAATAATAGCAAACAAAGCAACAGACAAAGGATTAATCTCAAAAATATACAAGCAACTCCTCCAGCTCAACTCCAGAAAAATAAATGACCCAATCAAAAAATGGGCCAAAGAACTAAACAGACATTTCTCCAAGGAAGACATACATATGGCACAAAAACACATGAAAAGATGCTCAACATCACTCATTATCAAAGAAATGCAAATCAAAACCACAATGAGGTACCATTACACACCAGTCAGGATGGCTGCTATCCAAAAGTCTACAAGCAATAAATGCTGGAGAGGGTGTGGAGAAAAGGGAACCCTCTTACACTGTTGGTGGGAATGCAAATTAGTACAGCCACTATGGAAAACTGTGGAGATTTCTTAAAAAGCTGGAAATAGAACTGCCATATGACCCAGCAATCCCACTTCTGGGCATACACACCGAGGAAACCAGATCTGAAAGAGACACGTGCACCCCAATGTTCATCGCAGCACTGTTTATAATAGCCAGGACATGGAAGCAACCTAGATGCCCATCAGCAGACGAATGGATGAGGAAGCTGTGGTACATATACACCATGGAATATTACTCAGCCATTAAAAAGAATTCATTTGAATCAGTTCTAATGAGATGGATGAAACTGGAGCCCATTATACAGAGTGAAGTAAGCCAGAAAGATAAAGACCATTACAGTATACTAACATATATATATGGAATTTAGAAAGATGGTAACGATAACCCTATATGCAAAACAGAAAAAGAGACTCAGATGTATAGAACAGACTTGTGGACTCTGGGAGAAGGCGAGGGTGGGATGTTTCAAGAGAACAGCATCGAAACATGTATATTATCTAGGGTGAAATAGATCACCAGCCCAGGTTGGGTGCATGAGACAAGTGCTCAGGCCTGGTGCACTGGGAAAACCCAGAGGGATCGGGTGGAGAGGGAGGTGGGAGGGGGGACCGGGATGGGGAATACATGTAAATCCATGGCTAATTCATTTCAATGTGTGACAAAAACCACTGCAATGATGTAAAGTAATTAGCCTCCAACTAATAAAAATAAATGGAAAAAAATAATAAAATAATAATAAAATTTTTTTTTAAAATTTATCAATAACCTAAGAAAAGTATAAGCTATATTCAGTACTCCCTGGATACTCAGACAGGGGATTAATAATAGACTATTAAATGTTTTCATTTAAAATGGTTAAAAAGTTGTGATATTTTGAAAGTTAACTTGTTCAACTTAACTAGATGTTAATGTTAACTAATGTTAGCAACTTAACTAATGTCCACTTAACCAGAATATTTAACTTCTTCACCATTCTGGCTAATATCTATGGTATTATATTTACTCTCTATTTTACAGAGAAAACATTTTAAATAAGAATTTTTAAGTTCTTCACTTCAGGAGGCTGAAGGATGAGTATCAAGAAAAAAACCTGAAGTCAATAACTGTGGAATATAGGATTCCTGGTGTTCACTGACTGATTTGAGGGCCAACTAAACATGTAATGTCTTCAAGTCAACTCTATTTCGTACCTCCCTGGGTTCCTTAGTCTCACTGCTTTTCATGCCCACGTGCCTCACTGAGGCAGGATCTGAACATGATGCTGTTACTAGAGACTAAAAATGTTTTATGAGATTATACTTTCTCTCAAGAAGCAGCTAAAGATGACCCATGAAACCGGGTAACACCAATGTAGTAATACTCTTGTAACATCAGACTGGGTATTGCATACGTTAGAACAAATAGTTAATAAGGCAGGGACAAAAAAATATAATTTGATAAACAGTCATGGATTTATCTCCTCCATAACCTTCTAGGCCTTCTGTTCTGTGAATCAGAGAACTGCTTCAACTCCAGACTCAGAAGGATAAGAATAAAGGCTGCCTTAACTCACAGAAACAAAGGGAAGGCAGGGAAGTAAGGAGGGTAGTGTTTGTATGCCCTTGCCAGTTAGAAATCTTGGGGAGGTGGGCTAGGGGAAAAAAAGAGGAATTTCAGGCCTGCACCATGCAATACAGAAGCTATGACCTCCATCTGGCTATAGAGCACTGGAAATGTGACTAGTCCAGATTAAAATGGGCTATAAGTGAAAAATATATATGGATTTCAAAAATTAGTATTAAAAAAATGTAAAACATCCATTAATAATTTTTAATTGATTACATGTTGAAATCATATTTTAGACATATTGGTTAAATAAAACACATTGTTTTACCTGTTTCTCTTTTACTTTTTAAAAATACAGCTCCTAGAAAATTTTAAATTATATATGCAATCCTTCTTTTGATGGTTCTTTTCTAGGGAATAGCTGCCATTATGATGCACTTTGTGAAGACAGGTACAGTACATAAACAGAAAATTAGAATTGCATTGTGCTGTGTCATCAATGTAATTTATCCCCCCTGTGCCACTATGAGAAAATTTCAACCTTATTCATTTATTTACTTATTTACTGGCCACATG